AAATCACTAAGTCAACATATGACAAGTACCAATAATGAAGAGAAATATGTAAAAATGTGTATAGTACATATAAATGTATCAAATAAAATAGTATCAATATTCTAAAAAAAACAAAAAGTTTTGTAGCCAAAGCAAAATCAATAAAAATATACATATACTCGAAATCAAAACAAACAAATCAAATAAATCAATACAACATATTGTTAAGCATATAAAAATTCATACTGCGTTCCAAAACACAATCATCATCACACAAACATAAACAGATAAATATTTATAAAATGATAATCATGTCAGTTGAAATCATGAACATTATTTGTCAAATTAACAAGGAAGCACATATAATCAAACGAATTAAGATTTACACAATCAATAATAACAAGTATTTACGTAAATCTTATATATGCATAAAATAAATCAAGTATATAAATTCAGAATAATAACATAGTGAACAGAGTCACATAAGTCAGTTAGAATGCAAGAAATGAATAAATCAAAATTAATTTACTAACAGTTAATAATGTTTGTAAAATCAAAGCAATCATTTTCAAAATGATCAAATAAGTATAGTAATACACACAAAACACACAATCAATAAAATTATATTAAAAATACAATCACAAAAGAATCCACACACAACAGATATACACCCCAAGGGTAAGAGTAAGAGAAAAAAAAATAAAATGCAAACAATAGTAAAATCAATAGAAAAATAGTAATATAAAGAACGCATTACAGCAACAAGAAGTATATGCTTGAATATCAAAATAGAAATACATGGCTCTTAGAAATAACAGAACCAATGCGAACATACTAAAATAATCTAACAAGACAAAACTTACTGATAAAAACTATTTACTGAAAATATAAGGGATAAGAATCTAGTGCATATGTAGAATGTTAAAATCATAAACTTATTAAAGTATATCACGAAATATGAACACTATACAAATCTAGAACATGAGTGAAAGATAGATGATGTGACAGAAAACGCACACATACATAATATAGATATGCAAAAGTATATTTTAAATACAAGAAAATAATCTGAATATCAGATATGCTATGTAATGTATATGTGGAGTCTAGAACAATGCAAAAAATACAAGAAAATAATCTGAATATCAGATATGCTATGTAATGTATATGTGGAGTCTAGAACAATGCAAAAAACTTAATAACATGATCTGAACAATTGAGAATATATAAGTAACGATATATATTTTTAATAAAAATATAGAATATAACACTATAGGTGATACATAAAATAATGTAATAAATAATGTAAAAATCAATATAATCAACGATATATAAGTCAAATCAAAGAAAATATAGTTGTAAAAATAATAATAACATATAAAATAATGACCACCATGAGGATAGAGAAGTGAAACAAGGGATGGGACAAGAACGGTGGAAAACTCCGGAGTCAAAGAGTGATAAGATAGGGACGAAATGAAATCTATCAAGGAAATGGAATACGGGCTCAAGAATAGTCTCACGAATGTAATATGATATGCGTCTAAATTATCCGTTATATTCTAACTGGTGGAAACTCGGGATCTTGACCGGGACCGGGACCTGCATGGGCCACCAAAAAAACCTGTCACGCCCCGCTTTCCAAAATACCCGGGAATCGGAACGTGAACAAGCCCGCGACGTATTAGATTGAGAAAAAATATTCACTATTATTTTTTTTTTCTTTTCTTTTCTTCTCAATCTAATACGCTAAGCGTCTGGGAATAAATAAATAAATACGAAGTCACAGGTCCCCGTTCACAATCAACAAGAATATAATAGACAAACTCTGAATAAAAACATCATATCACAAATGGGATAACATCCGGGACATAATATTCGGGTCAACATGCCCTTATACAAAACTGAACAAATGAATGCTGAAGAGATACAAAAATACATCGATCAATGGAACAAGAAAGAACTACAAAGGTAAACTGGAACGATCAAAGAATAGGCTTCGACTCCTTCTTCTGCTCCGTCCGCTTAGCACTCCTGCTGAGAATGCTCTGACTCCTGTTGAACCTATTCTTCCTCTAAGTCTGACGTACACCAGAGAAAACAAGTGTACGTCAGCGTGCATGCACACGACAAGACCCCACAAAGAAAAATAGAACAAACAAAAATCCAATGCAAAAAACGATACGATAACAGAAATAACAAAAGAACGTACAACTGAAATCCACAAATCAACATGAAAACACTACTAAATCATGATAACATAAAGCATTCAAAATCGATCAGGTAACGAGATCATGTAGCTAGCGATCAGTTTAATTATCCAAGTAATAGGGGCATACAATAGATGAAATTAATACCTAAAAATCTACAACATGAGACGTAGTACGTCGAGCGAAATAATCCAAACAAGGAAACCCTCATGTATATACCATATGTCTTAAATTAGAGATAATTAAATATTAATCTCGATCTATGTATGAAAAGAACAACTCTGGTCTACATCTCAACAAAACTAACAAAGTCCACCATAAAGCACATAAGCATATTATTCTAGTTTTACATGTTATTTGAATTGGGGAAGAATATTTTGATGTATATAATCGGGTTCCCGTAAACCTATCCGGGGGCCGCCTTAAGGCAAGTATTGGCCCTCTGGCCCATATATATAACACTCACGATATCACGATAACAGGAAAGCGCTGTGCCCGTTTATATACATGCTATATTCTTCATCCAATTCCCCTTTATAACCCCATGTTGTCATATTAATTACGCAACTGTACATGAAATATTATGCACTAGCCACGGAGTTACCGTGAAACGACTTCTGTAAAACTATGAAAATAACCATGACCCACAACACGTCCGATCAAGAGTGCATCGTCTAGCCAATGTTATAACAATAATAATCAAGGAAACCTCATATCGGGATATCGATATCGAGGGAACTCGGGACTCCTCACTTCGGGATATCGATGTCGAGTGAGTATAGCCATGCTTTGAAGCACGCTTATAAATCATACTTTTAACATAATTCGTCTTCATGTACTGTCTCTCCTATTGGATAACAACTAAGTGATAAATCAACAAGATTTCATACAGTCATTCATCAAACAATCCTTGCAGGTAATCACAATATATACACTATAACTAATCATATTACAGTCTAATCTAATTAATTAACTCATAACAGATCTAGAAATCGAAAGACGAGTCAATACGTAATGGTATCTTGCCTGTGAGACCAAGGGGTCTTATGATGAGCGGTGGGGCCGATGTAGATGCGGTACGACGGATCTGAACGACCGAGTCATGACGGATCTGCTAGAGGTGTATCTGGTCAGAGGGCAACAACACGGTGGGTTCGGCGTCGCGGATCTGTAAAGGAGGGGACGACGTCGGAGCTATTGGGGGATGAGATAGTGACGACAACGGTGCAGGGGGCGTTGTAAGGAAGCACAAGGGCTGCGGACTGGGTCGACGGGCCCGATGGACGCGAGTGTGGAGAGGAGGAGATGGCCTGAGGTGTCGTGGGGGAGGAGTCGGCTTCTAGAGGAGTTTCGATGAGCTCAGGGGCCAGGAGCGGCTCAACGACGTGTCGGATCAGGAGGGCGTCGGGCGGTGGCGCGGCTGATGGACTGTGCGGAGACTATTTAGGAGAAAGGGCGGCGAACTGGGAGAGCAGTCACGGTGTTTGGTGTCGAGTTCGAGATAGAGGGAGAGGTGATGGGTTGGCGAGTGGAGAGCTGGTCGACGAGGCGGAGAAGTGGGTTCGAGCTCGGCTGAGGGGGTGGTCACTGCGACGTATCTCAGGGGTGTCGACGGGTTCGACGGAGTGCAGGGTGTCGGAAGAGGAGCGGGTGCAGCGGCGTGGTCGAGGCGACGAGCTGGAGCGCGTGGGGCGGCAAGCTTGGAGGCGGCGGCCTGCGGTGGACGCGGTGGGTGAGAACAGAAAAGGGGCACGGCGGTTTCGTGAGGAAGGAGAAAAAAAGAGAGAGAGAGAGAGATAAAATATGTAATATATATATATATATATATAATATATATATATAATATAATTATATATATATATATATATATATATATTATAATATTATATATATATATATATATATATATATATATTAATATATATATATATATAGAGAGAGAGAGAGAGAGAGAGTATATATAAGAGAAAACTGGCCATGGCTGCAGCGAGGGATATGTGCGCTGCAGGGCTTGATTTGAAAAAACCCCGTCGATTACAGCTGTAAACCCAGCTCCCAGACTTCATCGATTTTGCTGAGGCCATCGCTCACCCCGCCGCCTTCGAAATCGACCGCCAAATCTCCCTCTGCCGCCTGACTTTATCGATTTCGCTGAGGGCCATCGCTCACCCCCCACCCCCCCTTCGAATCGACCCCAAATCCTCCCTCTCCGCCTGACTTCATTGATTTCGCCTCAGGCCAGTCGCTCAGGCAACCACCGCCTCTCCCAAATCCTCCCTCTCTGCTCACCCAAACCCCCTCCCCTTTCGAAATTGCCCAGCCCATGTCTCTCACCAAATCGACCCCAGATTTCGCTCAGGCCAACCCACCGCCGCCGCTCGGACTGAGAAATCGGCGACCGCCGCCGCTCGTTTCGTCTCGTGAGGCCAACCCCGACTCCCCCTTTCGATCTCTCTTGACAGGTAAAATTTCAAATTCTCCTCTCTCGACCGCCCTCCTTTCTTCTTACTGTAATGTTCTGTAAATTCTAACATTTACTGTTAAATTTAAGTAAAAATCTTATATACAGATTGTATTGTGTTGTATGAATGCTTTGTTGATGTAGTCCAGACAAAGCATTTTTGCTAAGTGTTGATGTGATTAAAAATTTAACTGGGATCGGGGTTTTATGAACTTGAGTTCTATTGATCCTACAGTGAAATGCTAATTTTATGCTAATTTGATCTCAACGGAGTTTTATGAACTTGAGTTTTATTGATCCTACAGTGAAATTCATAAAGTATATGCTAATTTTGCAAATTTTATGAAGTCATGGAAGCAGTAATGGGGTACTGCAGTAATGTATATGCTTAATTTTGCAAATTTATTTGTGTCTTTTTTTTGTGTATGTTTTTTTTTGTTCCCAAATAATTGACGAGGTCATTATTAATGTTTTTTTCTTCTTTAGGAGTTTGGAATGGAGGAAACAAATTCAAATAGTGTAGAGTTCGGAATGGGAGAATCAAGTGTTATTGGAATTGAAACTGCGGCCAATTCTGTAAATGCTCCTAAACCACTACTAGGAATGAAGTTTAATAGTCATGAAGAAGCTTATAACTATTATAACTCTTATGCATTGTTGATGGGTTTTGGAATAAGGAAGAGCAGTGTGAATTACTCTCGCAAGACTAGAGAAGTGGTAGACAGAAAGTTTGTTTGTGATAAGGAGGGCTATAAACCTAATAGTGGCAAGATAGAGATCCCTCTTCGGCGAGAGACCCGAGTGGGATGTAAGGCAATGATGCGAGTTAAATTATTGGAGGACAAATCGTGGGAGGTCACGGGGTTTGTTGAAGAACATACAAATCATGTGTTGAGTAGTCCAGACAAAGCAAAAATGCACAGAGCACATCAATAATTTCATAAAACTCAAAGATGTAAAAAACTTATTGATAGTCTACGAGAAGAAGGTATGCCTCCTTCCACTATTTCTCGCGTTATCAATGCAACCAATGGAAGAGACGGTGAACTTGTGACATCACAACAGTGCATTGATCATATCAGAACCCAAAGAGTCAACAATATTGGTCATGAATGCATATCTATCATTCGACATTTTCAGAGTATGACAGCGAATGATAAGTTCGGTCTTCCATTTGCTCCATTTACTGGTGTAAATCACCATAGGCAGTCCACTTTACTTGGTTGTGCATTATTAGCCGATGAACAGGAAGATACCTTTGTTTGGTTATTTAAAGAATGGCTGAAATGCATGCACGGTATTGAACCAGATGCTATTATAACAGATCAGGATAGAGCAATGTGTAATGCTATTCACTCAGTGTTTCCAACGACAAGACATCGTTATTGCTATTGGCATATGCAAAAGCATATTATTGATCATTTGCCTACTTTGGTATCTCGTTATGGTGAACAGTTTCAAAGGTATTGGGGCTTGTGGTGCAATAGTTCTTCAATTGAACAATGTGAAGGATATTGGGTTGAGATGAAAGAGAAGTTTGATATAAATGAAGAAGGGGACGGATGGTTGCAAACAGTTTACAAATGTAGAGAACACTGGGTGCCGTGTTATCTGAAGGATTCTTTTTTTGCTGGAATGAGATCGAGCCAAAGGAGTGAAAGTATTAATGCATTTTTTGATGGGTATGTTAACTCACAGACTCAGTTACACGAGTTTGTGACACAATATAAAAAAGTAGTAACTCATCGTCGCTTAAGTGAAGCCCATGAAGATTTTAAGAGTCTGAACACAAAGTCTGTTATGCTCCTTGGACATCCAATTGAGATCCAAGCTGGAGAAATGTATACACGCAATATGTTTGATGTGTTCCATACTGAATTCAAAGGATTTGGTACAGAGTTCTGTGAAGAATTGAGAAAAGACATTGTTGAATACAAGGTCTGTAAGTTTACAGATAGAGGAAAATGGGAGGTGGTTACTTATGAATAATCCAGTCAGATCCAGTTCTGTTGCACTTGTGCTTTGTTTGAAACTAATGGTGTTGTATGTAGACATATATTATCGCTAATGATGGCTAGGCAAATGGATTCATTACCCGACCACTACATCCTACACCGTTGGACCATACATGCAAGGCATCGTAACATTGGGGTTGGCAATATTGTATTTGGAAGAAACATCACCAGCTGTGAAGAGAAGATTAATTTATTGAAATCTTGGGCTTTAAGAGCAAAATTCAATAATGTGCTCGAGCTTGCATTTGATTCAGAAGAGAAGCTGCAACAACTTGATGATGTGCTAACAAATTTCATGGAATCACTTGAAGAAGAAGTTGGAGAAACTCAAGATCAAATTATGGATATTCCTCAACCTTCCGCACCCATTTCACATACAATAGAGAACATTCATCAGATAACAGTTAGTGATCCTGATAGACCTGCAAGGACTAAAGGTCGTCCACGCAATACTACTAGAATCCAGTCAGGTTTAGAACATGCACAAGAAAAGAAAGAAAGGAAGAAACGCATATGTAGCAGATGTGGTGAACTCGGGCATTATAGAACTAGTTGTAAAGTTAACTTGCAAAGGTACCATTTTCGTTGATATTCAGTTTTAACCCTATATAAGTTTATGAAACTTGATAGCACAAAGTCATATCTCATGATTAATTTGTCATATAATTTGTAGGTAAACATATGCACGGGTCGTGGATGTATTGGTTTGTTCAAAAAGTCATATCTCATGATTAATGTACGTATGATCTTATGCATTTTTGTGTATCAATCTTTAACAGTGCTTTATTTACTTTGTTTTTAACTTTTAACAAGCAAATTATTTGCTTGTACATGTTGCTCAGGTTCATCCACAACTGTTGCTGATTGTCTTGTAGCTGCTGATGTATTACTACATTTTATGTATTAAGACTGATTGTGTTAAGACTGATTATGCCTTATAGCTGCTGATGTGTTAAGACTAATGTATTAAGACCGAGTATGTGTGTGTGTTATTGGTTATTTGATATGGATTGTTGTCTTGTAGCTGCTGATGTATGTGAATTGTATTGTGAAGTTTGTAAGTTTTAATTCTATGGCTTCTTGTAGTAACTTTCATTTATGCAGTTCTTGTAGTAACTTTCATTTATGCTGACGTATGTGAATTGTATTGTGTTATTTATTCTGCTTTTATTCGTTTTCTTCATTTTAGGGGGATATCTTGTTTTGAGCCACAAAGAGAAGGATTTCCTTGCAAACTAGAATCGACAGAGATAAAAAGTTGGGGAACAGCTGGAATCGACAGAGATAAAAAGTTGGGTCTTTTTTCAAATCAACCCCTGCAGCGCACATATCCCCTACGCTGGCAGCTCATGGCCAGTTTTCTCATATGATTTTGAAAATTTAATTAAAAATAACAATAATTATGGAAAAATTTAAATAAACATATAAAAATTATCTACACATTAAAACGTCCTAGTTGTAGTATTACAACTGATAATACGCAACAATAGAAATAATGTAAGAAATTACACAATTAAACAAGAATAATTAAATAAAAAAATAATTACTTATATTTAAAATCAAATAATTATATGATAATTATCTACGCGATAAAACATACCAGTTGTGCTAATATGATAAGTAATACGTAACAGTAGAAATAATACAACAAATTATACAAATAATACGTAATTAATAATACAACGTATTATACAAAAAAAAATATATATATTAATAATAATAATAATACTATGTATTATCCAAAATGATACGTAATAGTATCGGTAACTCAACGGATAAATTCTAGAAATTTTTACTGCACTAAATAAATTTATAAATATTTAAATCATTTAAATAATATAAAACTTAGACTTTAAATTATAGAAAAATATAGAAATTCGAGAAAAATATTAATACTCTTTTAAAAATCATAATTAAATATTTTAAAATACCAGAAAATAGTTTTAACTAGTATCAAAATTCTTGGTCCTTACAACCTTCCATGAGTGAGACACCCATGGGATGAGCAAGACATAAGTGGTTTTTACTCTTTTGTGGGTGAAACGTAACCCCAGGTCGAGTCGCTTCGTCGTTATTATACCATCCTGTTGATTTGTATGTTTTATCAACTCACTTCATACATTTGTTAGCTTCTCTATGATATCAGATAATCCTCTTTGATTCAGACAATGATGTTTATTGTCTTCTCTTCGTCTCGAACTACGTGCGAGAATCCATAGGCAATTTTAACGCCTACAGATACCCCTTCCAAAGTGTTTCAGTCTCGTTTCTTTTATAGAAGAGCCTAAAATACTTTAGATGTGATAGGCCTCACCTTCAATCAGTATAAAAGGACTTATAATTGGCTTTAGTTCTTGACATCTTCAATTTTTAGCCTATTCAGTATTTTTGTCGAATAGCTAAATTTTTTTCGGTGATGCGTTTATCGTCTAACAGTTGTCGAAGTCTCGAACTGTAACTGATGCATTAGTTTTTGATCTTAGCTCGTGTCATTGAGTCAACATTGAACTGATTATCTTCGTCGAGGATTCACATCTGAATCGCGATCGAACTCCCTAGGATTATCCTTTGCTTTGGAATTGATCGAAGCCTTGTTTTAGCAAAAATTGTCGACACATTAACATTCATCGCAATGTGTTGACTAACGTTGACTTTCATCACGATGCATTGACTGGTGTTAACTTTCATCACAATGCGTTAACCATCGTTGACTTTCATTGCAACACGTTGACCGGCATTGACTCACGGCTATGTGTGGACCGACGTTGACTTTCATTACAATGCGTGGCAGTCCCAAGTATAGAGAGGCTGCAATGCCAACTATTGAGGCTTGGTTCTTCTGCATGTATGGATTTCACCTTTACATCCCATTAGTTATTTACTTAACCACAGTGGAGTTTTGGTTGTAGGATTAACTATTAGAGCTGATACGGCTATCATTGCAAATGCTTTCAAAGTTCCTCATGGAGACTTTGGCTGGAATTGATGTTATCTTGGGTGCTTAAGTCACGAGACTAACTAATAAAGCTGGTGCGTCAATGACTATCAGACTTATAGGATTTTTGACAAATATTTAGCCATCAACAGATTTGATAAGTTTTTACCGACTACCGTTTGAGTCAGGCAAGCATGCAGATTTTTTAAGTCCGTTCTGCATGTGACGTTGTGCTAAAAGAATTCTTTTAGACTTAGCGCTATGATTTTGAATACATAGACTTAATCATCCCTTGCGGGATGCTCATAGGATTTTTAGCAAACCCTCAGTCATCAACGAATTTGATGTGCCTATACCGATTACCGTTTGAATCGGGCTAGCATGTGAATTGTTGGAACCCGTTTCAAATGTAATGTTATGCTAAAAGAATTAACTCTCTTAGATTTAGTGCTATAATATTGAATACATAGATCTCGGGTGTAGACTTGAACACCTTTGATCTTGGGTTATCCTAAAGAATATTATGTGTAATATTCTCCAGGAACTTCCCGCTGGAAATAAGGGAAGCAGTTTATATTCGTATATCAATTGGAGTATCATAGAGAAGTAGTTTAACCTCTTATACTCATCGGAGGATAGGAGCAGTTTAACCTCATATACCTGTCGGAGGAAGCCATTCTCATTCGGCTTCTTTCAGCGTTATGATACCGACATCAACCAAGACTTGAATGCTGTTTTTAGCATAATACAAGTCTTGGTGGGGTGATTGACTCTCCTGTGGTATGTACAATACTTAGGATCCGAAATCTTGTTTGCTTCCTCCTGATTTGTAATCGGTGGTAGCTTGATCTTATTGTTAGCGAGGAGGTATTTGAAGATGGTTGGAACTTCATCATCTTCGAAAGAATACTCCTCCTAAAACTTCGGATTAAGAGTCCCTTGTTGCCTCCAAGGTGGTTGTTGATGAATATCGTCAGTAGTTGCATGTACTTTAGTCGTCGGTTGGCCCCTCTCGAGCTCCTTTCTTTTGAGGAAATGCTCGACCTGTTCTCCATGTAGTTTTAATTCCTTCCTGGTGGTTGAGGGGACAACCCCCATGACTTCAAGGACATCGATGGGGAGATTATTATGGTACGTCTGCAAGATGAACTCCTCTGTGATAGGATCCCTGAAATTCATTACCTTGTTGCGGAAGTGTTTGACAAAACTATCAACCGACTCACCGTCCTTCTGCTTCTCATTCAGAAGAGATCTGATCGACACTTTGGTGTCATCGTCGAAGAAGTTATCGAGAAATGAGCTTTCCATGTCGTCCCAGCAATTGATGCTCCCCGGCTTGAGACGTCGATACCAATCGAAAGTCGCCTCACGAAGGGTGCCTACGAATGACCGAATCATCAGGGGTTCATTCCCATAGATCACTCCCAAGTATGATTTAAAATAAATCAAGTGTTGAGTGTGCGCGCCTCTCCCGTCGAATGATGTGAAGTTAATTAGGGTGAACTTTACCGGGTACGAGATTGAATCCCACTCTCTTGGATATGGGCACGGAATGCCTGTTCTCCTTACTTTTTGAGCGGACATTAAGGCATTGACCTTGTTCTCTAGCTCTTTCATCATCTCGTCGTCGTCTACATCTTCATTCGAAGGACGTTGAGGAGAATGAGTTGGATCACCTCTAGTGTTTTTACTTTTAGTGGGTGCATTTGAACCACCCTCAGTGTTATTGAGGGGTGCGATTGGACCACTCCTAGTATTTTTAGGGGGTGCATCAGCCATGATTGGGGATATGGGCACGTTTGACCCAAATTTTGTGTCTCGGATGATATACTATTTGTGATATGACTCTTTTATGTTCTGAGTTGTTTATTATATTCTTGCTAATTATGATCGGGGACCTGTGACTTTGTAATATATTGCTCGACGCTTAGCGTATTAGATTGAGTAGAATGGTCGAGTACTTATTTCTCCTCAGTCTAATACGTCCCGGGCTTATTCACATTCCGATGCCCTGGTATTTTAGAAAGCGAGGCGTGATAGGTTTTTATGGTGGCCCATGCAGGTCACGGTCCTGAGTTCCCACTAGTAAGAATATAATGGACAATTTAGACGCATATCATTATTTCATCCGTAAGACTATACATAAGCCTATCCTATTATCTTGATAAATTATGTTTGTCCCTACCTTATCACTTTTTGACTCCGAAACTTCCCACTGTTTCTTGTCTCGTTACTTTCCGACTATACTCTCTTCGTATAACTTCTCTTCCTCGTACTGTTCATTATTTTATGTGTTATTATTTTTACACTATGTTTTCTTTGATTTGACTTATGTATCATTTGATTGTATTGATTTCTACATTATTTATTATATTATTTTATGTATCACACATAGTGTTATATTGTATGTTTTTCATTAAAAATATACAAGTAACATAGTCTAATGAAAATCATTACTTATATATTTTTAATTGTTCAAATCATGTTCATTAAGTGTTTCACATTACTCTAGACTTCACATATACATCACATAACATATCTGATATTCAGATTATTTTCTTGTGTTTAAATATATTTTTTCATATCTAAATTGTGTATGTATGCACTTTTTCTGTCATACCATCTATTATTTATTTATGTTTTAGATTATTGTATATTGTTCGTATTTTTTTAGTAATATACATTAATAAGTTCATGATTTTAATATTCTATACATGCATTACATTCTTATTCTTTAAATTATTCAACTCATAACATACGGGTCTTTGGGAGTACATAGTCTAATGTTTTGTGTTTGTCACAATAGGGAGTGCCAATTGTTTCGGTTTACAATAGTTTTGGATGCTTGAGTGCGTTAGTCCATGCATCACATGAGAATACCGAGGAATACACTCTGAGTGTGTTAGTCTGTGTACTGCAAGAGATTACAGGCGACTACACTCCGTGATGCATCTTTGTTTAGGTGGTTGAGTCCATTTGTCAGTGCACCACATGATATTACGGGCGACAACACTCTGTGTGCATTAGTCCGTGAGCCACATGATACTACAGATGACTACACGCTACATCTTTGGGACACCTAGGACTCAGGTGAGTATTGTTTGTGGATGTAGTCCAACATTGTGGCATTCGTATGTGTAGTAACCCAGATATTTAGTGCCTTAAAAAACTTGATTAATGGAGATTTTTTTTAATTACAGATTAGGGAATTAATTAAGGGTATTTTCGGGATTTCACCCTAACCCCTGATTAATTGCCACGTTAATGTTTGTGTGGCTAAATAAAATTTGACAGTTTGGCCGGCACCTCTTAACGGAAGTATAAAAGAGGAAAAAAATCAAAGAAAATTACAGAAAAAAACAACAACAAACAACACAGACAATATCCTCTCATCTTCTTCAACCCAACCCTCTAATAACCTAGATTAAAATTGTGAAAAGAAATAAAAGAAGAAGAAGAAGAGGAAGAAGACAGTGAAAGGAAAACAGAGGATTTCATCTAATATTCAAGTAACCCAAAGTTATAAACCCTTTTCTATGTTAATTTCTTGATTTAGAAGAGAAATTGTTATAGAAATCTTAGTAAATCAAACCAAAATAAAATGAATGAGGACGTTAACTTATTATGAATGTGAAATAAAGGAATTTAGGGTTTACAAAAGGAATTTTCTTATGTATTTAGGATACATGAAACAAATTAGAAAAAAAAAGAAAAGAAAGAAAAATAGACTAACCCTAGATCCGACAAGGACTCGTCGTCGGCCGGTCTTGGTCGCCGCCGGTTTCCTCGTCGAAGAGAGAGAGAGAGAGAGAGAGAGAGAGAGAGAGAGAGAGGAGAAGAAAACCGAATGAAAAAAAAAGAACAGAGGAAGAGGAACGGGAAAAAAAAGAAGAAGAAAAGAAAAGAAAAGAAGAAGAAACGAAGAAGGGGAGGAGGAAGATGACCAGTTGGGTTTTTTTTATAAAGGGAGGAAAATTCACCTTAAGCCCTGAACCATATGGAAGTTTCTAACAGACCTTAGTAAAATGAGTAATGGTTGAAAAATGGCTGAAAAATATCTGTTAAGCCCCTGTTATTTACTCAATTTGTAAATAAGTCTAGTCTGAGGAATAAACAACAACTTTTAGACTTGATAAATTTTCTATAACCCCCTGCATTATTATAAATTACTAAAAAGTCCAAAAGCTAGTGTATGAGAATTATAAAATTTTGATGAATTACCAGAGATAGCAACAAATTCATATGCACTGCATAATTTAATTATTATTGATTATATTTGAAATTATTAGGCTCTAGTTATGAATTGATTTACCTATAATCTATGTTTGTTCTGAATTAATAATTAGTCCTATATCTTACATTATAGGTTCTGGTTGATATTCGGGAGAATAATAGTTTGAGAAAGTCGTGACCACTAGAGGTGAGTTCATTTCTCACTAGTATTTTTATAATATGAATTTACATGAGTTTTATATTTGATTTGTCTTGTGATGAAATAAATAAGTAAATAATATGTCTTTTCATGTATATTAAAGGTTTGACCTATGTCTATTGTGGTCTATCCTATAATACGATGTTAGCCTCGTACGATATATGAAAAGCAAGTTTGATTTCTATATAAAATATGAAAAATGAATTTGGCTCTCATGCAATTTTCAAATAATTGTGGACTTTGTTATATCTGAAAGTTTTTGATGAAATATTTGGAACGTATTTCAACAGGTTAACGGATTCAAAGATTTTCCGTGGTTTAGTATTTGATAAAAGAAAAAAGTAAATATCCGTAAACTGTTTTAACAGAAATGAGAAGTTTTACCTTGTCAATTTCATTTGAAATATCTACAAATTCTGATATGCAAAGTATTTCTCATTTAACATGTGAGCGTGATGTTTTCAAACCCTCAAATAGTCCACTATGGATTGGTTCTGCCTGCCATATGGTGAATGCACCTTTATTTGGCCCTTCTGTATTGGCCTTGGCCCTTCTGTATTGGCCCTTCTGAAATCTGTTCTGGCCCCTCTGTATTTGGCCAGTAGCCTATGGCAGTGTTAGGTGCATTCGATTCCCGGGAATTTATCTGTTATCTGATGTGGTTTACGCATTCCCTTGCTACTGGGCTAAAATTCGTAGCCTTAGTGTGACCTATGGGGTGACTTTTACATTCATGAAATACTCATCGAGAAATAAGATTCTGATAATTGACTGTGAAATTAAGAAAACAACAATTCTCTGATTTTGTACAAATTAGTAGTTCTTTTCCTTCTTAATGTTTATCTTGATTCAAAAAGGGTTTGATTCCAAGAAATTTCACAGTTTATTTCAGTTGCACATGAGAAAGGAAATATAATTGTTGTATCTTTTCTTAAAAATGACAATATTACGATATTTGGATCGTATTCTGCTATCTGTGAATTTCTCATGCAAAATACGATATTTGGATCGTATTCTGCTATCTGTGAATTTCTCATGCAAAACTTGAAATTTGTTAATTTTTGAGAACTATTCTTATTAATATTTTTTTAGTTATCTAGGAACTCTAGTGGGAAATGTTCTCACTGAGTGCTAGCTCATTCCATTATTTTTAAAAATTTTCAGATCCGGCGTAGCTTCATAGTAGCCGAACTTTTGGTTTGAGCTTTTGGCTGAGAGGCGTTATATGGAGAGCCTCTTCTTGTTGATGTTACCTTCAGCGCATTTTGTTTTGTTTTGTAAAAATGCTTATAACGGTGAGCTTGTGGGCTGTAAGTACCGATCATATATATATAGTTGCTCTGATTTCTATCATCAACAGGTTTATGAATATTCTGAAAATACACTATGTGATATGAATTGCCAGGCTTGACTCGTGCATAAGACTTGTCTCGTGCACGGGTCGCTGCTGTCGCGTACCCCGTATTTTATGAATTTTCGCTGCAGATTTCAGGGCGTGACAGTAAGGTGGTATCAGAGCTTAGGTTTCGACGTTAGAAATCTTGTAGGGCACGCTATCATATAGTATATGCGCTAAATGAGTGTTAGCGTATGGATTAATTATGTGATATATATGTCTGTATACATACGTATATATATGTATGCATATAAATATTTTATAGTAAAACCTTTTAGGGTTGTTAAGGAGTGCTTAGATGTTTATTTTATTTCACTTCGCTTTTTTTCTTTTTCTTCTTCAGCGAGCTGATGGATGGTTCCCCTTTTTGTAGGATGGCGGGAACCAATTCATCTTCCAGTTCGTCATCTACTCTGTCTAGCCTTATGATTTTTGTAGATAGCTCGTGGGAACCCAGCCTAAGAGACTGGGGATACACTTCCGATGAAACTGATCCGAACTTGATAATGGCTAACCATGTGACCCCCGACTCACCGGAGGTCGAACCCATAGAAGTTGTTATGATAGATTCATCTGAGTCTGAGCTTGATCATGCGGATGATGAGGATCTCGTGGTAGAAGTTGTTCCCATTGAGTCATCACCTTCAGAAATATTATGATTTCATCCGACCCTTCGGACATGGAGTCCTTTGTAGCACAGATTCCTAGTGTCGACCAAAGATTTGCCCCCTCTGAGGGTGAGTCGAGTAGCCTAGGCATTGGTCCAGATCTCGACCTTCAAGGATGGGGGACTAGCGGCATAGATCCAGATCCAATGTCCAATTCTATTGATAGCCAAGACTCAGAGGAGACTGAACCAACTAAGGAGAAGTCTAGTTCTAGCAGCTCCTCTTCCTTAGGGAAATAGAGCATAACTATTAGGACAATTTTGTAATATCAGTATATGGGTTTTCATAGTTACTCTTTTGGTTTATGTAGGACATTTTTGGTAGAAAATATGTATATATAAACCCATATACTTAGATATATGTATGAACTAAAAAGTTAAATGTTAATAATATACTTTTGGTTTGTAAATACTGACTTGTGATATTATGTTGAGTAGTGATTGAATTCCTAATTACTTAATTTACATATATGTGACTGACTTAGGAATTTTTCCTTGAATAATAGTTGACTGAAATATTTTATTATTTATAGGAAGCTATGACTTCAGGTAATGAGCAAACCCCTCTTAACGGAGATAGGGATCTAAATCAGACGATAGGTGAAATGATGAGATCTAGAATTGCTTGTGCATCCACCTCCGGAAACTCAATTGACAACAATGCATTGATGGGTCTGCTGCAAGCGGTGACATCTGTAGTCACCAGACAACAAGATCAAATTGATCGTAATCGGACGAATGGTCAAAACGAGGAGAACCCAAAATTAAGAAGTGGCATGGGAGAATTCAAGAAACTATCTCCACCCAGTTTTGAGGGAACAACTGATCCTACGATTGCTGAGCATTGGATCACAGAAATGGAGAAGGTCTTTACATACATGAAATGCCCTGAAGAGGAGAAGGTTGATTATGCAGTATACATGTTAAAAGACCGCGCTTACGGGTGGTGGCAAATGCAGGTCAGGACATTGGGTGAGAAGGCATACAAGATATCGTGGGAGGAATTTAAAAAGATTTTTTATGAAAAGTATTTTCCTTCAACTGTTCGCAAACAAAAAGAACAGGAGTTTCGAAAATTGGAGAAAGGTGATAAGACAGTAGCTGAATATGAAGAGGAGTTCACTTATCTATCAAAATTTGCTATTCATTTGTTGGGTAATGAGGAAGATAGAGCTCGTCGCTTTGAGGAAGGGCTTCGACCGGACATTCGGAAGGCGGTCAGTGCATTTGAACTCCCTACATATGGAGAAGTGTTAAAGAAGGCCTTGTTAATTGAGAAAAATGAAATTGATACAAAGCCGAAGGGTGAGACGATCAGCTCCTACCCAAAGAAGCGGTTTTGGCAAGACAATCGCGGTGGAAGAAATAAAAATTGGAGAAACAAAAAGCAGAATTTTGGACGTAGAGAGGAGCAAATTCCTAACCAGAAAACTTTAAGATGTGATGTTTGTCATAAGCTTGGGCATGAAACGAAAAGTTGTTGGAGAAATACTGGGGCTTGTTTGAGATGTGGTCAGAAAGATCACAAGATAGCAAATTGTCCCAGACTGGCTAGTCCAGTGGTGGGAACCGGTATTCTCAAGCCAAGGCCCGAGTTTATTCCTTGATTGAGAAGGAAGCAGAAGCAAACAAGGATGTGGTGACAGGTACGCTAACTTTTGCATCAGTTCCTGCTCGAGTACTATTTGATTCTGGTGCATCGCATTCCTTTATTGCTGCACAGTTTGTTAAGAGAAACAAATTACCTTGTGATACCCTACAATAAGAATTACTTGTTAGTACACCTGGAGGTAGCACATTAGTATCAAATCAAGGTTGTAGGGGTAAAATTTATATTCTCGACAAGGAACTCCCCGTAGAATTAATGATGCTAGAAATGCATGATTTCGATATCATATTGGGGATGAATTGGTTATCCTTAAATCATGCTTCTCTTTTATGTTGAGAAAAGAAAGTAGTATTTAAATTTCCTAGCTAACCAGAATTTTGTTTTGAGGGCGAAAGGTCTCAACAACCCTTAAAAATCATCTCAGCCCTTAAAGCACATCGAGCGCTGAGGAGTGGATGTTGTTAGACCCTATACGGGGGAAATAAAACTAATTAATAAGTTATCCTAGCAAGTATGAAATACAACAAGAATAAAAGCTAGGATAATCAATATGAACAATGAGATATATCCTATATGATAGAAATATATGCAAGGATATATAAACAACACAAGGGTAAATAATCTAAATAAGATAGTGGATGAAATAAATGAGCAATGCACAATTGGCGATATAAGATGAATGTAAAAACAAATACGCCAAAGACAAACTCAAACAAGCAATATGATCACGGAGTTCGGACCTTCCGTCCTACGTCTCCGCTCCCCACTCCCGGGGAGAAATCCACTAACAGAATCCGGTTTGGAAGCTAAAACTTCTACACACTCGGTTTACAAGTTCACCGAAAACTCTCACACAACAAACACTATGCAATCACACTCTACACCCACTAAGTGTTGAACTAGACGTGTCTCCCTCAAGTGCTCGGTTACAACCTCTCCCTAGGTTCGTCAACCGACGCCACTCCTCTTGGGACGATCCCCGACTCTTGCCACACACTTCTCTCTTGGTGTACAAGTGTATTACAAAGTGAATCTCACAATTAGGCTCAATACAATAATTGATTGTTCTCAACTATGGATGAGAACACAATGAAAGCACAACTCAAAGTTACAATCTCTCACCACCCAACTATACTATGTATGTAAATACTAAAAGCTCAATGTGGGTGTGTGTAACAATGAGTAAAATAAAATCTAACTCAAATAGCAAACTAGCAATAATAAGAATATGAAAATCAATAATGAAATTGCTAGAGAAAAGAGTTAGAAAACTTCTCTATGAACACAAAGAAGAGATGAAGAGGATTGAGAATGAATCCCTCAATCTGCAGTGAAAACTTCCTCCTTTGTAAACAGAAATCCAAACTTAAACAAACAGTAAAAACCTTAAACCCTTGTTTAAAACCTTGTTTAAAAACTTCTTAGATGAATTGAAAAAGAACAGCAATAGGGTATTTATACCCACTTGAAATCTCAGCCAAAAACTCCCAAAACAAAAGACCAAAAACCCCAGCCAACGGTAACAGCCGTTGGAAACTGTCAGACTAAGGGGCAGTCGACCGAAGAAATTTGCGGTCGACCGCGATGCAGATCCCAGACTGGGAAAACATGCGGGAACTTCGTCGGTCGACCGGTGTGGTCGACCGATGGAGCTCTCGGTCGACCGCACCGGTCGACCGACCAACTCTCTGCTGCATGGTGACGAAAGAACAAATGATCGGTCGACCGGTGCGGTCGACCAAAAACTGACACAGCAGAAAAACAGGTTTTAGAGCTGATTTTAAAACACTGTTTAAAAATATCAAATAAATTCCGAAAAATGTAAAACTTTGGGGAATGATTGTAGACATGATAATAAACATGCTACAGTGAATTTTGATGTTTTGACAAAATAGTCCAAAACATGAAAATATGAGATACTTGAATTTTGATGTTTTGACATAAACCAACTTTTGAAACTTTGTGAAATGTTTTTATAGACTTAGTAAAACATGTATAAACTGATATTGAAGTCTATAAACAAATAAGACAATATTTTCACAAAATTACATATTCTATGCAATATATATATATATATATATATCTATATATATAACTATATATATATGCGAAGAAACCAATAAAATGTGTGTATATGATATTGAGCTTAAGGTACTTAACACACATAATATAAAACCTATACTATGATTACCCAAGCATGATCTTGATCTTCATTGTAGCTCAACTTGGTACACATGCGGATGAAGCTTGAACTTGATCTTTAACTTGAATTGTACGTTGCTTCACTCCACAATTCCGCCAACCTCCATTTGATGTCGTCGTTGAAGCGCTATTCCATCCATCATCCAACTCGTTGTTTGCCTAGAATAAATACAAAAACACAAACACTAGACAAACAACATTAGAAGTAAATTGTTTGTTAACCATCATCAAAACAAGAAGGCCAACAATCTCCCCCTTTTTGATGATGACAAACAATTTACAAAAAGGATATATGCATGAAAAATAAATGACTATACAAGGTGATATATGCATGAAAAAGAAATGACTATACAAAGTATAATATATTATGCATATAAGCAAGAAATAATATACTCACAATATTTCTCCCCCTTTGACAATATCAAAAAGGGGACAAAAGGAATAAGAGAGCGAAAGCTCCCCCTAACAATATGCATGAGTGAGTATAACACATAGAAAGATATTGGGATTGCCCCCCCTATGAAAATGCCTCATGAATGTATGAAATGAAGATCATGGCAAACATATGTGAGCAAGCATAGATGGAAAAAAATGCTAAACACAACTCACATACATAAAGACAATGAGAATATATATAAATATATCAAAGTGAAAAATAGTTTCTCATATCAAAGAACATAAAAACCCTTTGTAGAGGTAGATTTATGAAATCAAAAGAAGAGAAACATGAGAATCATGCAAAAAGTTTTCAAATGAAAACAAATCAACCAAAAGAAATCATAAATCAAAGTTTAAATCCAAAAACGTAAGACCAAATCATCATTGATTCAAAAATCAAGAGAGGCAACTATATCTAGCTCTTGAGCTAGTATTAACCCATATAAACATTTTAGCACCCGGTAAACAAGATTTGGGAATAAACACCCAATAAATCCGGAGGGTTATATAAGTACAAACCTCTCATCAAAATCAAAACTAGGAATTATGAAAACAAAAGAATTTGACCAATAAAAGAAATTGTTTTCATGAAAGTTTAAAATACATTTTCAAAACCAAGAAAAAAGAAAATAAAAACTCTATAATTCTTGGTTTAAAAATTAAATTTGTTTTGGTACCCAAGAACTCTTGGTACCAAAAGATTTAGGGACATGACCCCTATCATTCAAGCTCAAAGCCCTAGGGTTATGAACCCTCTTGGGCACGTATGGTGCACTAACATGGTCAAAACAATATTCATTCAAATGACCCTTCCGATTGCAATTTGTGCAATGAAAGAGATCCATTTGTTTTTGTGGACCATTAGCTCGTGCACGGGAATCATTTGCAAATAAAGATTTTCTTTTAAAATTATTTTGCAAATGAGAAACATTCTTAAACAATGGTCTATTTGGAACATATTGCAATTTAGAAGCTTTTTGTATATCAAAACAAAATTTAGCAAGATGTCCAAACCTACCACAAACATCACATTTAAAAACATGTGGTCTATTGGAAGCATTTGTCAAATGAGATTTTCTTTTCAAATCAAAGCAATATTTGGCCAAATGACCAAAACAACCACAATGATCACACTTGAACACATTAGCATGCTTATGATGAACTTTGTGAGAATGAGCATGTGAATGTGTAAGTGATGAAGAAGCTACATGAGATGCACAAGGAGCATTGACATTTTTATGTTTGTGTGCATCATAACAAAATTTAGCTAAATGACCTTGACGGCCGCAAATTGAACACTTATAAGTTTTGCTATACATGTGTGCATAATGAGTGGATGATGACTTAGACTTAGTGTAGGCGTATAAAATTGCTTATAGGTCCCTTAGCACAGCTCGACACAAACCGACGAACCATCGGGCGACATATCCAAACACGAGCGTCAGTCCACAACGCCGAAGCCAAGTGACACGCAACGAAGCGGATTAACGAGGCAACGAGGCTAACGAACCGCACGCAAACAATGGAATACATCCATTCGCATGCGGAATCAAGCTAACAGTTCGGTGAGTCAACGAGTCATCCAACCATAGAACGGATTTGAACTCAAACACCGAGGCGGATTTACTACCATATTGGGATTCGGACTGTCAAATCAGAGTCCGGATCAACAACGAAGCGGGTTTACTGCCAAATCAGGATTCAGATCAACAAATCAGAGTCTAAATCAATCACGAGACCGGAAAAAAAGGCAAAAACCACAACACCTAGGGGACTCGGCCAAAACCGAGCCACCTCTAGGTGGCTCGGTG